GCATAAGGAAATGAAGTAAACACAAATAAATGAATCAACAACTAATAAAATGAGATAGTATCAATGGAGATGAAGCTAGGGATTCGATTTCACCATTGCTAAACCAAGTCCATGTTTGTTAAGTCAAAACGTATTCAACTCTCCAATCTGCAACTAGGGTTCGTTTTACTTATTTATGATCATCCATTTGATGTGTGGTTGTGATCAAGTACTCCTAATATGCAACCTAGTTGTGATGTTCAACTTAGATTAGCAAGTAAGAATCCATTAAGAACAAGAAAACTTCAAAGAATCAAAGAAATCACATGGCAGGATGTATGCATAGCAGTTTCTTCATTCATTCACATGTCTACCAAGATTAAGCATGATGTGTACTATAACCTTGATCAAATAATTCATAAGCAGCCCTAATGGTGATCAAACATTAAGATTAACAAACAAATTAAACTATAAAATCAGTGAATGAAACAAGAACACAGATTGGTGAATCAAATACTTTAACTTAATAACATGGAATAGTTTTGCAAGGCTACATCGAATCCACCCCTAGCCAAAGGGGGATTTAGTTCTTTATAACATTGAAATCAAAGAAACACCTAAACATTCCAACAACTCAAACGTGAATTGTATGAACGTTTAAGCACTCTTTTCTTCCATTCCTCAAACATACAAAACAAAGAGAGTTGAATTTAAACATTGAAATCAAAGAATCACCTAAACATTCCAACAACTCAAACTTGAATTGTATGAACGTTTAGGCCCTCTTCTCTTCCTCTTCTCTTCCTCTTCGTTGTAGCATAAGGTCTAGGGATAGTTGGTTGGTGGGATGGAAGTATGGTGTTTGGATTGTAAGGGAGAGCACGGCAAGGGTGGTTTGATGTCTACATTCTGAAATGGAAGAAGTGTGTGACTGAAATGTGTATGAATGAGAGTGAATGAGAATGAATGCAATGGATGCTTATTTATAGGTAAAATAGGGGGGACATGACAGCTAGGAGGAGGAATATATGCATGTGCAAAGCTGGAAATGCAAGCAGAAAATGGAAAGGAATGCATGTGCACGGCAATGATGGTTTCTTGTGGTGAATCTGAAATGGGAGAGCATGTGGATTAAAGGGGTAATGATGATGAATGCATGTGAATTATTTATGAAGGGAAAGCATGTGCTTTGACAAAAATGAAAGGAGAATGTGCACGGCATGAGAGAATTTCTGGAATGTTGAATGTGCATGTGAATGAAAGCTAGAGTGATGATGATGAATGCATGTGGAATGGCTGAAATGAATGATTATGGATGCATGTGCAATGTTTTATAGGATGGAATGCATGTGAATATGATGGAAATCTGATAGGAACTCACAGCAAGGATGATTTCTGGTGGTGAATGGGTGTATGTGTGAATGATTAACGGAACATGTGGGTTGGAAATGATGAAAGAAATGCATGTGAGTGACAACTAGATATGTTGATGAATGCATGTGGAATGTTTGTGGTGAGTGAATGTGTACGGCAATGAGTGGAGAAATGTGTGAATGATGGCAGATTTGTGTGGATGATATGTTTAGGGTCTTGTAAGGGTGGAAATGCATGTGGAGTGCATGATTGTTTATGATGATATGGATGGTTCTTTGCATGGCTTTTGAAGTGATTGTGGGCTTTGGAATTGGAAGGAAATGCATGGCCTTGGGGTTGGTTTAAGAGAGAATGGGCTAGGCCCTTTGTTTTATGTCCAAAATGAATACAAGGCCTTCAAATTCGTCCAACACTTTGGCTCCAATCATATGCTATCCATTCCAAGCCCAATTTTGCTCCAAAATGCTCCAAAATGCATCTTTTTGCTTCCTTAGCCATATGAACCTAAAAACACACGAAAATGGCTTAAACTACTAAAACAACTATGAATTAACAACATAGATGCACGAAAACAAGCTAAGTAAGTCGCCTAAATATGCTCCTATCAGGTACAGAGTTTACAATTTATCAACTCAGAAGATAATCCTATCAAGGGATGTTATCTTTGATGAAGACTCAACATGAAAATGGGAAACAAGGGTAGAAGAGAAGGACAGTGTCTCTTTACAACTTAATCTCAATGAAAGGTAAATAAGGGAACCTATAGAGACCTCAGTTCAAGAAGATGTCACAGATAATGGTGACATACAAGGGACTACACAGCAAGCTAGTATGAGTACACAATCAAGTCAACTCCAGTGAGATTAAGAAACCTGGATGAGATTTATGCTACATGTAATTACTGTGTAGTAGAACCAGAAACATATGAAGAAGCTGAGAAAGACAAAGCTTGGAAGAAAGCAATGCAGGAAGAGCTTGAAATGATAGAGAAGAATGACACTTGGGAACTTGTAAATCGACCAAGTGACAAGCCTGTGATTGGAGTGAAATGAGTGTACAAAACGAAACTCAACTTAAATGGTTTTGTGCAAAAGAACAAGGCCAGGTTGGTGGCCAAAGGTTACTCACAGAAACTAGGTGTAGATTTCAATGAAACCTTTGCTCCATTAGCAAGGTTAGACACCATAAGGACTTTGATAGCCCTAGCAGCCAAGAAGGGTTGGAAGTTACTTCAATTGGATGTCAAATCTGCATTTCTAAATGGAGTGCTAGAGGAGGAAGTGTTTGTGGAACAACCTGAAGGGTTCATAAGTAAAGCACTTCCAAAGAAAGTGTACAAGCTAAGGAAGGCACTATATGGCCTAAAGCAAGCTTCAAGAGCCTGGTACAGTGAGATTAATTCCTATTTCACTGAAAAAGGATTTCAAAAAAGTCCTAGTGAAGCTACACTATACACCAAGATAGAAAGCAACATCAAGACACTCATTGTCTCAATTTATGTGGATGATGTTGTCTACACTGGAAATGATGCTGCAATGATTGAAGAGTTCAAAGAAGAAATGATGAGAGGTATGAAATGACTGATTCTGGCCTCGTGTACCATTTTTTAGGCATTGGGATAATTCAAGAGACAAACAACATTTTCATTCATCAAATGAAGTATGCTGAAACCTTACTTGAAAAGTTTGGTTTGAAAGGTTGCAAACCGGTCTCTACACCTTTAATTGCAAATGAGAAACTTAAGAAGGATGATGGAAGTGAATCTGCAGATGCCAGTCTTTACAAAAGCATTGTTGGCAGTCTATTGTACTTAACTGCAATAAGGCCAGATCTAAGGTTCTCAGTAAGCCTACTTTCTAAGTTTATGCAGAATCCTAGCAAGATACATATGGGCACAGCTAAGAGAGTGCTGAGATATGTGCAAGGAACACTAGATTATGGAATCAAGTATGAAATGGGGAAGTCAACTATCCTAATTGGATTTTGTGACAGTGACTAGGGTGGCAGTGAAGATGATAGCAGAAGCACATTGGGCTACGCTTTCACCTTTGGTTCAGAGGTATTTTCATGGGCCTCTGTGAAGCAACAAAGTGTTGCACTATCCACAGCTGAGGCAGAATATGTGAGTGCATTAGAAGCAACGACTCAAGCTATTTGGCTAAGGTTTATACTCAAAGATTTTGGCGAATTACAGGTTGATGCCACACCACTCTTATGTGACAACACCTGTGCAATTGCCATGACCAAAAACCTAGTTTTTCATCAAAGAACAAAGCACATCAAGAGAAGATATCATTTCATTAGAGAAGCATTGCAGGACAATACAATCAAACTAATCTATTGCAACATAGAAGTTCAAATCGCAGACATATTCACAAAAGCACTACCTAAGGAGAAATTCAATTACCTGAGGGGTTTGCTTGGAATGACACCTAGAAGCAGTTTAGAAGGGAGTGTTGGAAGCTAACCAGCTCCTGGAGTCGAGGGGTCGAAGGCAGCAAAGTGCTCCTGAGCAAAGGGTGTTGTTTGCGTCGAAGAAGGAAGAAGAAGAAATGAAGGGTTAGCCTCCAACGGCTAGTTTTTTGTTTAATTGTGTGAGTGGCAAATGTACACTCCAGATTAGATCACTTAAATCCCAATGAAGGGCTAGGATTTAATCTGGAGTAGTAAGGTAATTTTATTGTTTAATATTGTCTAATCACCAACTCTTTTACACAAGTATGGGTGATGGAAATGTACCATACCCTTACACATTTCTCACTACTTAATGAAGTATGGCTGCTGCATTTTTTCTGCACAACCTTGAAGTTGAAAAACACACTTCAAATCCTCTCAATTTCTCTGCCATTCTAGCCCCAAGAAACCAATCCAAAACTATTCAACAAGCAAACGTTAACACAAAGACTGCTGGGAACTTGATCCTGCTTCTCTTCCTCCGGATTTACTTACTTTTGGTTCAGGAAGGCAAGTTTAGAATATAGTTTGAGAAGCAGAGAGCTCTTTATATAGCCTTTCCTTCTCTGGTTTTGCGGTTCACAGTGTGAAATACTACTGTACATGCGGTGCCCTACAGAGGTAATTTTTGTAGCAAATGAGGGTACTGTTGTTTAACTACAATCTAATCAGTTGCTGAATATATAATCTTCCAATTTTTTACTTTTTTCTGCTTCTTTCATACAGATAAAATTTCAGTTATGGGATGGAGAGTGCAGAAAATGGTAACCCCGGTTCTCCTTTTATTGGTTGAGTTCTGATGTTTTGCAAATTTGAATATGGCTTGGTGATGCGAATGGGGATTCGGTCTCATTTGTCTCCCTCAATGAAAGTTTGTGCCAAGCTATGATGCATGGACACGGACATGGATACGGGGATACGACACGATACGACATGGGGATACGTGAAATTTCTAAAAATGAGGACACGATACGTCAAGGATACGGCAATTAAAAAAATATAAAAATATATATATATATATATATATATATATATAGATATATCTAAAACATTATAAAATAAGCATTCAAATTTATTTCAATAAACTCTAAACATTTAGAAAGATAGTTCATCCAACAAGCAATTAGTCTTAAAACTTGAAAAAGTAAAAAGATCATCCAAATGAAATTAAAATAAAAAATAAAAAAAAAGTCTCATTCAACTTCCACGTTCATGATGTCTCCTCTAGTAATCAAAGTAGTCTCCAATGACGGTTCATCAAGTGAAAGGTTAGCAATATCACGCATCCCGACACTTTCTTCACCCAAGTTTTCAAAGCCATCTCCTCCAACATCCCACAATTGAGTAATACCTTCTTTGTAGGTTGAGCTATTCCTTGATAAAAGACGAAGATTATTATGCACAAATACCAAATCCTCCGCTCTTTGTGGTGTAATCTTGTTCCTTCTTAGAGAGTGAATAAAACTATAAGTGCTCCAATTTCTTTCACAACAAGAGGAGGAACAAGGTTGTCCAAGTAGCTTCAACGCTATGGATTGGAGACTAGGTGTAGAAGCTCCATGGACAATCCACCACATCACTGGTTCCGAATGAAACCTTTCATTCATAGAATCAATAGCTCCAAAGTCATTCAAGCACATAGAGAAACAGGCATACTCCACATTGATACTTCTTCTAATTTCCTCATTGGAAAAGTATCTCTCAAAGCACTTTTTCCTTTCAGTTGTAAGCTCAACATCTCGGTGTGGAGCAACCTGACCAGGGTCTTCTTGGAGCCATTCTGAACTATAATACCTAAAATAAAAGAAATAGCACTTTAAAAATATAATCATAAAGCTAAAGATTAATTTATAAGAGTTTATAAGGATATTAGCGATATTAGCAAAATCATTACCTTGGATTTAATGAATGCGCCAAACAATGTAGTGGTGTGCTACTTTTAGTCCATCACTCCAATAAAATGCGATACACCGCATCAAAAAAGCTGCTTTTTTCATGTAATGCCTTGCGCTCATTCCTGTAGATAGCAGCTTTTACCTTTTCAATCATAGTATCCCACCACTCATACACCAAGTGAAGACAAGGTTTATCTGTATCAACCATTCTAATAACCTCATATATTGGAGTTGTAAAGAAAAGAATATACTCAATCTTCTCCCAAAAGTACTCATCCAATATTTTTTGCTTCACCGACATTGCTTTAACCAAATCATCTTCTTTGTACAAAGCCCAATTCGGGCTAATCACCATTTGTTGTAAACCTTTCTTTACTTCCTTAAATCTTCTAAGCATCACAAGTGTGGAAGCAAATCTGAAAAATTTTAAAATTAGGATAGCTCATAATTGAATAAGAAAAAAAAGAAAGAAAAAAAGTGGAGAAAACAAACCCTGTTTCGGCAATGGAGAGCAATTTTAGTTTGCAATGTTCATTAAACATGGACAATCTCATGCTATGGTTCATAAAAATTTTGATGGACCAAACATCACTAGCAATGGTTGAAATCCAATTGCAGTCATCGTACGAAACATGTGTTTGTTTCGGAGAGCATATACTCTTCAAAGCAAGATTAAGAGTGTGAACAACACAGGGTGTCCAAAAGATATGGGGATAGTGAGCCTCAATAAGTAACCCAGCAACTCTACAGACAGGAGCATTGTCAGTGATCACTTGAACAACATTTTCATGACCAATTTCTTTGATAGCTTCTGTGAGAAAGTTGGCAATACAATGCTTGTCTTTATATTCACCTTCACAATTAATTGGTCTTAAGAACATAGGCTCGCTTTCACAAGTTGTCATAATATTAATTAGTGGTCTCCTTTGTGCATCTGTCCACCTATCACTGCACAAACTTACACCTTTAGTGCTCCATGTGCGCTTGATTGGTTGGAGGCATTGCTCAATGTGATTCTTCTCTTGTTGCAGAAGAGTGGTTCTTAGTGCATTATAACCTGGTGGAACATACCCTGGAAGTGTAGAAGCACGAACATATGAGTTTCGATAGTACGGATTTCTTGCAAGGTTAAATGATAAGCCACCTGTATAAAACATCCTTGTAACCTCGGCATCACATTGATCTCGAGCTTCCTTGTTAAAAGCTTTACTGAGAGGCCCACTTGTTCCTTTTCTCTTCTTTGGATCAAGATTCACTTCAAGTAGATCATAACAGAAAGAACCAGTATTGGGCAAAGACACATTCTTAAGAGTAGAACTCTTCAGCTTATATTCACACTCTCGAATTAACTTTTTCATTTCTGCAAGATTTTCATCAGTAACCTTGCTGCAAGGCGCGATCCCGTTTCCAGCCATTTTTAACAAATGATACTTGACCCTAGGGTAGGATCCTTTATAAGTTTTCTGACAATAATTGCATTTAAATACAGTATTTCCTCCTCCTTTATTTCCCACTTTTTCGAGCTTTTTGACATACTTTCACAACGGAGTGTGATAATTTTCAACAATCTCATCCGGATTAGCATTATCATCCAGATTAGTATTATCATTCGCATGATTATCAGGATGATTCATTTTCCTAAATCAACAAACATATAAAGTTATAAACAGTAAGAGTTAATCCATCATGAAAGCATATACATAAAATTATTAGAATCTAAATATTCATACCACTACACAATAATATATTATAATATGCAAAATACAAGAATATTATAATAATACAAAAAGTTAAAAACAAAAAAGCAACAAGCTTCATCAGAAGAATATTATAATAATACAAAAAGTGAAAAATAGAAAAGCAACAAGCTTCATCAGATTCGAATGGGCTATGGGGTAGTGGTATGGGTATTATAATATATTATTGTAGGTAGTGGTATGAATATAATAATATTGGTTTCGACTTTTGGAAAAGCAAATGACTTTATATTTTATAATCAGTTAAGCTTTTAGTTTCAAACTTTCAGTACTCACTCACCTGGAGTTGCAGACAGAGAAGAAGGAGACAACGGAGCACTTGTAGACAGAGAAGATGGAGACGACGACACAGTTGCAGATGAAGACAACGGAACGGTTGTAGATGATGGTCTGATTCATGAAAGTCTCCCAAGAAAAGTAATTTATGTTATGAGGTTCAAGAGGTAAATCTGAGTTTTATTTTATTTTTTCTAATTATCCTCCTGATTTTAGAGTGATTTCAATTAGCTAGCTTCGATCAATCACGATTCTGTGTGGATTTATTGTGATTATTTTTTATTTTTTTTTTCTAATTATCCTCCTATTTTAGTTTCAAACGTATCTGAAAAGTAGGATACTGGTATCTCGACAATACGGTACGCGTATCTTATCAGTCCTAAACGTATCTCTTCATTCCAATACGTATCGGGCGCGTATCCATGCGTATCCTTCGCGTATCCGTATCCTCAGCGTGTCAAATACGGGATACGATGGATTTCTCCCCTGTCCATGCATCTTAGGTGCCAAGCCATTAGTCGATCATTTGTTCAAATACTAAGTTAGCATTCTTATTCGACCCAAAAAAAGTGAGAATTCGATATTAATTATGTCAATTAGAGAGATTAGGTTGATTGATTATTAGTTTGAAACCCTAGCACCCAATGGCTGCTGGGAAAGTGAAAGAAATCTAACAGCCTAATTCTTTTGAATACATACTGTACATCTGTGATCCTGCAATTTCAAAGCTACTGATTATAGTTCTCGTTTCTGTTTTTCCTTTCATTACCGGTGCTAAATTTCTAGTACAAATTTTGCTGAATTAGATTGTTTTTGTTGGCCAATATAGGCTCTATTTGCTGATTTGGATGCAAATATGATATTGGGGTCGTTAGCATGACTTGATTGTGTTTGGCTTCTTGTCACCGTATGTACCTGAGTCTGAACTTGTGACTACACTAACTAATGGTATGTGATATTCCCGCTCTCATTTTCTTCACCTGCACTCCTTTTTTCTACTCTCGCGACTACATAAATCATAAGAGAATCAAAAGGGCAAAAACAAAGGGAAAAGTACAGAAAGATAAAATGAAAACGTGAAAATCACTAACCTAACTAATTATTCACATGATAGGCAGTTGATTAATTAATATTAATAATTATCAATAACTAATGTAATAACTAGGTGCATGTCAATAGACACATCATGTGATTTATTAATATGATAAAAAATACGATCTTTGCAAATGAGTTCAATTGTTGATTACTTACTATGCAAACAGGTGGTGCACATGCAACAAAATTCGTATCTCAAACTGCTTCCCATACGTGGTTTGGCCTGGAACCCTAACCAGCCTCAGATTTCAAGTTATATCCCCAATGTAGCAGATATGTGGGCACTCGGAATCCATGGAGAGGCCACTTTTTGGGCCAACCGGATGTTCCCCCGCCTCCGAAAAGTTCACTTGTGAAACGTTAGAATGCACCCCCAATGAGGGTATCACACAATGGTAATGGCACTTTTCGTGCCCGCGACTCTAGGGGAAATGACGATTGCAGCTGCGGGATCCCAAGTTCAAGATGATTCTTGTCATGCTGGTTTCAACTTGCTCATGTCGTGACCTCCCGGGTAGTAACGGCAGCGCGTGGTGGACGGCTGCTTATACTACATTTGGTTCGAACAAGTAGGTGAATTTTTACACATCTGTTAGCGGGCTGCTGTAGGGAGTTTGTTGTCGAAAAATTAATCACTGCTTCTATTGCCGCCCAGTACTCGTCTTATTTCTCCACTCATCTTAAAATCTCTCACTTGATAGAGTAACACCCATTTTCCCACCCACAAGTATTGCTAAAATACCGTTTATCGTATAACCACTTTACAGAGACATTGATCATAGAATTTCATTCTTTCAACACTCAAAAAGATCCAACTTGGAGAGCGTTTCCCCCTAGGGGTTTGCTAGGCTTGTTTTCCTCTAGTCTTTTCTGGGGCTGTTCAACCATGTTTTAGGACCCGATGTGTGTAGATTTCGCCATTTGGGTCGTTATTGCTTGCTGAAATTTAAATTTTTTGACCGAGGTCCTTAGTATCATTAAGGAACCACTGGAGGAGCCATATATTTCTTTCCGAAAGTTGGGTGGTGTTAGGCCTAAAAGAGGAGAGGACTGAGTGAAAGAGTGAGCGGTGGAGACTGAGACGAAGGAGAAGTGGTGGCGCCACCAGTGGCAACCACCAGGAAACGAAAGACTGAGACGAAAGAGTGTGATTTGATGATTTGGGATTTTTGATTTTAAATATTTTTATGTTTTATTTTTATTCTGCCGCAATAGTTTTGTGTTTTGTGGTGAATCCTCTACTTTCATCACCCTTTGACAATTAATTGGGCGTTAAAGTTTCTAGCACACCAATTTGTCACAAATTTGAATTATATCTGACAGAACAAAATTTTAGAAAAAAAAATTCTTTCACTGGGAAACTCTTTATGTGACGTTTTTTTCGAAATGGATCACTTATTTTACCATAAAGTGATGAATTCTTGGGCATCACAAATAATTTTATCACCGAATCCATATTTTCTTGTAGTATATCATATGAATAAAAAATCACATTGAATATAGTAGATATGAATATCAACTAAAATGTCATATGAAGAGTATATTTGTTACACAACATTATCATAAGTTGAAAACTTCAATGGTTAGTTTTTCAAACTCGCTAATCGGTGGTCTGAGGTGGCATCTATCTCTTGACTAAACATAATTAACACTGACATCAAGTGTATCAAGAAAACTAGTATTTCATTACAAAATAGAATGAGCCTAGGCATAAGATTAGTTCTAAAAATTTAAGAACCCTATATTATATTGACAGTTTTAATGTATTGATTATCATATAATTAAACACGACATACAAAATTATAGAGAATTTGATAATCTTATGAAACTATTTGATCGTACATTACCGCTTTTTGGGTACATGAGACATGATAACTCTTTATTTTCATAATGTACATTTACCTAGCTATGATTAATTGAAAATAATTGGGTATTTAGGCTGCTTTTTGGGAGAAAAAAACCCGCAATGTTTCTCAAGTTCTGATGTCTTTGGATTCTCATCAAACATGGCAAAGATATAAGTTTCTATGGGTTTTCCTGGCCTTCTTGGAGTCCCTCCTTTCACATGTTGAATCAAGTGTTAGTAATATGTCTATGCATTATCAATTGTAGCTTCCGTTCCACCAGCTGATGGCCAACCCGTCTCTAATACAACAATTTCCAATGACCCTCCTCCAACCTTCTCAAGGGCAGTATAAACATCATCCAAAATGGCATCGAAAAGATTATCATAACCAAATTTTCCATCTTGTACCACAATTGATGGAGATGTGAAAAGAGCATAATCAAGACGAATATCCCGAGCGTTGCTGCTGTAACTAAAATACGGGTACAAGTTAACAAGTAATGACGATTTGTGATTCACTAGGAAATGGATAATGGGTTGCAAATGTGAGTTATATTCAGACTTGAATGAGCCATTTGACGGAGGATAGGCTTCTCCAAGTACTCCGGTGTCTATGGCAGTGGAAATTTTAATTTGTTTGGCAAGGCTAGCAAGAGAAATCGCCTTTTCAATATTTCGCATTGCTAGGACCAGAAATCGGGCAAAGGAGTCTGAGGGCTTGACTTCATTTCCTACTGCAATGTAATTGAATCTTACATTGGCATAGTTTCTCACATTGTTTTGCACCCACGTGTTTGCATTGGCTTGGCTTGAAGCAAGGTTTTGAAGGTTGTCATTTGGCACGCCTAGCAAGAGCTCAATATAGTAGAGCTTCTAAGGGCACCCATAGCAGCTTGGTTTGGATCATAGAGTCTCATTCTATGGATTTTATATGTCTTGTAGAGAGCAATAACTTCTGCTTGGGTTGGTAGGTCATCAACAATCATTCCATTAGACACACCAATTTGGGCATCTAGATTTGAAAGAACAAAAATTATTATTGTTTTTATGATAACATGATGTTCCTAATTGATAACAAGTAGTACGTTAAATCAAGTCATAAAAACAATCTTACGTCGACTGCCGTTTATAGAACCCTAGTTTTGAAGCATGAGAGAGGAAGAGAGAGATACCTGTGGTTTCAAAGCTGGCCATCTGTTGCCCTAGTACAAGTATTATGGAAATCATAGAAGATCCTCTGCCAACTGATGAATTGGATTTAGCCATGACAAGAAAAATATTTATATCAAAATTAAGAAATAAATTATATTATTTTGTGTTCTCCTCAATGATGCTCCTTGCTCTTTAATTTATAGAGATAAAATAGAAGAATGTATGATTAAGAATAGTAAGGCACACTAACTTACATGAAACAGCCTCAATTGTTCGTTTATTTATTTTG